TGGTCCACTCTGGCCAGACTGGGCCCCTCACCCCTCTTAACTCTAATGTCTGGCTTTGCTCATGTTGTTTCCTATTTTGCTTGCCCCTCACCTACTCTCGCCATCCTCCCTACCTGCCTTATCTACCCACTTGGATCCCTCCTGCTCAACAGTGCCTCCCCCTGGCACATCAGCCCCTGGCTGAAATGTCTCCCCACTGCCATCCCACCACACTGAGCACCTCTTGATTATATGCTGTTACATGTGGTTTTCCCACTCAGCTGAACATTTTCTGAGGCCCGGCTATGTACCAGACACTGTGGGAAGTTCAGTCCTGCCAAAGATGGCATCTTATTCAGCTCTCAAGGAGCTTCTGAGGGGATGGAATTCATTCACCCAAGAGCTATCCAGGGGTACCTACTGTTTGTCCTAGACACTGGGTTCTGTGGAGTACAATGTCCTTCTTCTCAGGGTAGTTCAAGGTTCTCCAAGGCCCCTCTAGCTGATCCACCAGGGCTTGCACTGGAAAAGCTTCTTACACCAATTTCTCCTCCCCCACTCCCTTCACTCACACCAGGAGCTAAGGCCTTGCCCCAACCCCACGCCCAAACTCCTCATTTCCCACTCCTCCACTTCCTCTGGCCCCAGATCCCAGCCCATCCTAAGTAGCAGTTCCCCAAGATGAGGGCTCCTTAGAATGCTCACATCAGCTGTCCCTAGGCTGCTGCTTCCTCCAGCACAAAGATGCAGACACCTGTTGCAAAGCTCTGTTCGTAACCTTTGAAGAAACTCTCAACCCTTCTCCTCCACCACTGCTTCTCACTGTGCCTAGCCAACACCTGATACATTTCCAGTTATTGCAGGGCATAAACAGTACCAGGGTGGATGACTTTAAATCTAAGCCATGGACAGCATTCGTTAGCAAAGTATAAATTTCTACGGTGCATAGAATCATCTCCCTGGCCCTCACACCAGCTGGCAGTGACCCTTCCTCCTCTTCCTCCTTCCCTGAGCCCCAGGTAACCCCATCACAATGACCACCCCCAGCTACCCCAGCAGGGTGCTCACCTTACCACCTAGGGGCTCCCAGAGACTGGTGGCTTGTCCAGGAACAGCAGTTCCTTCTCCAAGAACCACAGCAGTCAGCCAGACCAGTCACCAGGCCAGCAGACAAGTGGATGTGGGTGGGGAGTCAGGGCGGGCGGGGCCTGGTGCTTCCAGGCGCGGAGACCTGCCTCCCAGCCACTCTAAAGCGGGGTGGAGGAGCCTGTCCCTGCCTGCTGGCAAAGCCTAGCCAAGGCAGGGTAGTAGTTGGGGATCCCAGAAGTCAGTGGAGTTACTAGTCCAGGTCTGGAAGGGAAGAGAGGAAGGGAGACAGCCTGGGCACAAGTGCAGCACCAGGAAACCCCTCCGAACAGTGCCCTCTGCTGGTCTGTGGCCGATCCTAGCCAGAGGCTGTTAAAACGGCAGACGGGAAGGGAAGGCGGGAACCTTAACCAGAGCTTCTCAAACTGTAATGTGCATACGAATCACCTGGGGATCTTGTTAAAAGGCAAGTTCTGATTCCGCAGGTCTGGGGTGTGGGCTGAGAATCTGCGTCCCTAAGAAGCTCCCAGGTGCTGCCAGTGCAGCTGGTCCAGGGAGCTACGACAATACCTATTTCTACCCCTTCCCTCCAGGGAGGCGCTGAGAGGGTTAATGACTAGTAAATCAAGTTGCTGGCAGCATTGGGACTTACCTGTATCTGCTCTCTACTCGTGCTTTCCACTCACCACACTTGGCACTCAAAGTTGGCAGGGGGAACTGCCATTTAGGGGAGACCTGAACTTTGGGGGTGTTTGCTAACTTGAGTCCTCAGACACTCTGCCTAGGAAGATAGAGTCACTAGAATCAAAACTCCCTGCGGAGAGGGATGTTTCTCTTCAGATGTTTGATACTGGATGTTCAGCTTCTGGTACAGCCTGATACATAGTAGGTGTTCAGTAAAGACTTGTTGAATGAATGAACCAGCTGCGAAGAAAGAGCATGCATTTTGGAGCCAGACTGCCAACACTGAGCCCAGATGACCCACCTATTAGCATGTAACCTTGGACAAGTTACTTAGACCCTCTGTTATAGATTAAACCAGGTTCCCCAAAAAGAAATGTGGAAATCCTAACCCCTATACCTGTAAATATGACCCTGTTTGGAAATAGGAATTTTCTTTTGCTATGTTAATGAGGTCGTACTAGAGGAGGGTGGGTCCTAACCTCATCACTTCTGAATTGTGTCTTATAGAAAGAGCAGAATAGACAGGGACACAAACACAGGGGGAAGACAGATGCCATGTGAGGACACCTGTACAAGCAAAGGAACACCAAGGATCACTGGCAGACGCCAGAAACTCGGAGAGAGGCTAACAGAAAGAACTGACACAGTTGAGACCTGATTTGGACTTTTAACTTCCAGAACTGTGAGAAAATAAATTTCTGTTCTTTAAAACCACCCACGTGCAGTGTTTGTTGTTACAGCAGCACTAGGTAACTGAGACACCCTCTGAGCCTCACTTCCCTTGTCTTTAAAGGCAGATAATAATATCTACCAGCCATGCGTTAATAATTGTCACTATTGAGCTAATAAATGCAAAAAACCAAGTAGATTCTGACTCATAGCAACCTTACAGGACAGAGTAGCTCTGCCTCATAGGGTTTCCAACAAGCGGCTAGTGGATTTGAACTGCCAACCTTTTGATTAGCAGTTGAGCTCATAACCACTTTGCCACCAAGGCTCCATAATAAATGTAAAGCATCTACCAAAAAAAATGGGTGCTCAGTAAATGATCATTGTTATCTCCATGGTCTGCCTCCAACAGTAGAGGAACTGTGGTGAACAACCCCTGCCCGGTTATCATCTCCCATAGAAAATAAGTAACTTCCGCTGCTTTTGTCTCAGTTAATGATTTCCTAGCCTCTTGTCCCTTACTGCAACCCCCCGCCCTCTGCTTCCTTCCCCGGGAGGAGGAGAGATGACGGGATAAACACCTCCCAGAGGAGCTGTGTTCCCCAAAGTAGAGAGATGTGGCAAAGAAATGCATGGAAAGCAGCCAGCTTCTGGGAAAGGGACCTCTTGCCTGAAGGACAAGCAAGGAAGGGTACCTCGGAACTTTGCTTGGGATCGAGGAGGGAAGGTGTAAGTGGTTGTTGGAAAAAGCTCTGTCTGAGTCACACAGGAGGCTGGTTTGTCCTCTGAGTCATGAAGTCCTAGGGATTTGTGGAAGATCAGTCAAGCCAGAGTACAAAGCTTGGGTGGGTCATGCCAACTAGAAGGCTGTAACCAGGGGCTGTGTCCATGTGTCACGAACTCATTTCCAAAGCTGGTGCTTACTTCACTTGGGGATAATCCCAGTTATAAGAAGGCTCTGGGGAAATCTGAGGACCCCCACCCCCACAGACACAAAGGTTGTTCCCAGGGACGCAGAGACCACAAGCATCAGTAGCTTTGTAGCCTGGGGCTGAGCTGTCTCAGGAGGTCGCGGTCTCCCAGGGCCAAAGCCTCAACCTTTCCATCAAGAGACTCCCCCAGAGGCCAGGCACCATGAAGGCTCTAGCAGGCCAGAGGTCTCCTGCCAAGAGGAACCTGAAGGGGGGCATACAGGCAGCTCTCTGGCTTCCCCAGCCAGTGTCACCACCCTTGTCATCGGAAGAAGGCAGGCCAGCAGGGAGCTCCACTCCACCCTTCTCCCCGTCCCCCACCCTCCTCTGTCTTGTACACATCATACATCATCAGGCACCCGTCTGGAAGGTGTGCTGTCTGAGGTAAGGGGAGTGCAAGGTCTGGGAAGACGGAGGTGCTGGGAAGGGTGGGTAGGAGGAGAAAAGAGGATGGAGAAGGGGAGGGTAACGGTGGGGCATGGACCACCAACACTGGAGAGAAAAATAGAAACAGCAGAGAGAGAGACATAGGAAGGCAGATGAGCAAATGGGCAGTGAGGAGGAGCAGAGAGACAAATGGACAGATGCACAGGCAGGCAGGCTGGTCAGCCCCATCCCAGGAACCTCCAGAACATGATTAGGGACACTTGACAGGAAAGGCTGAATTAGACAGTCATTCCAGAACACTGAGACTGAGCAGGAGATTTTTTCTTTCCTTCAAACCATGTCAATGGTAGGAGGCTGAAATATCATGTACAAATGAGAAGAATGTTATTGGTTGGGGTCCTTGGTTGGTAGAGGGTCTGTACACTGTCTCATATGCAAATGACATGCAAAGCGGCATACAAATGAACATTGCAGCTTTTTAAATCAAAGGCCAAGCAGCTTGTTTCCTTGAGACATTAGGCCACAAGAAATCTGGGCTCTTGAGTTTGTGGCCTGACGCTCTGGAAGTGGGGAGGCGTAGGGGGAATCTTGTCTGGTCCCTGGCCTCAGGGAGAAGAGAGCTAAGCCTTCACAGAAAGGAGCCCACAGAGCCACTCAGCTGAGTTTGAATTTGGCGGGAGATCAGGCTGGGTGGGACCCCTTTAGTATGCCACTCTGGTGTGGTGAGATAAGTCTGGGGCAGATGGGCCGGCCCTGTTCTTGACCAGAAGAGACCCCAGGCTCCTGCCTTCAGCATTTGGTCCTTCCAAATACTGCATGATCAGGCTGGTTACTGTCATCTTAGTTGCGTTCAGTTTAAGACACTGTCCTCGTTGAGGATCTGCTTTGTACCCAGCCAAGTGCCACATGCTATGGGAGGTAGAGAGGCCGTCAGTCACACCTGGACCTGCCTCCAGATGCATGTTGGAGGAGGGAAGCCTTTTACTCAGAAGCTACTATACATACTGGACAGTATCCTCCAAGGGCCAAATGAGTGGTGTGAAGAAAATAAATCTATGGAAGCCAGAAAAGGAGCAAGGCAGTGTGGGCAGAGAGGTCTCAGAGGAGGTGGGATTGGAGTTGGGCCCAAGGTGGGGGCAGAGGACTCAGGCCAGGGAATAGCATCAGGTCAGGATGTGGAGGTAGAGACAGACGAGGAGACACAGGGTAAGGCTCATACTTAGCATGTTCTCTGCCTCCCCAAATTAAGTCTCATCAAGGAGAATGTGGCCTCAAGGGGCCATCTTTGTGGCCCTTCCCCACCTGGGGCCCATTATGGTCTGGCTGTTTGCCCGTCATCGAATACCTGGTTGGTGTAAGAGCCCGAGGAAGGTGCCCTGGTGTCCATCCCACAAAGCCTTGTTGCTTGTGTGGACAATCATCTACTCAATCATTGGGTAAGTTTCCCTTTCTCATGCCATGGCCCTGGTACCACATGGTGTGGAAATAAGTCTCCCTAAACCTGAACTACTGCCACGTATTGGCTTCCAAAGTGATGGGACCCCATCTGGCCTCTTTGAGGGGCAGGGGCCCAAAGCCAGAGCCTCAAGGCTCGTCACAGAAACCTTCTGCGGCTGCCTAGCATTCCAGCCAGCCTTTTTGCCTCCACCCTCTCCAAGTCTCCCCACCCCTCGCCCAACTCTTCCCACCAGCTGCCTCTGGTCCTCAAATGCTGCCGAGACCCGCCCGCTCCCATTTTGGCCACAAGGGTTCCCTCTTGATCACCAACAGTCCTTATACCAGAGCACCCCCTCCATTTGCCATGGCTCACCCTCCCTTTGAGTGCTTTTGCCACCTTTTCTCCACAGCTATGCCTCCTACTTGGTGTGGAAGGACCTGGGAGGGGGCTTTGGGCGGCGCCTGATCCTGCCTCTTGGCCTCTATGCTGTACAGCTCACCATCAGCTGGACCGTCCTGATTCTCTTTTTCATGGCCCACAACCCTGGTCTGGTAAGGCACACAATGCTCAGTAGTGCATGGTCACTCACCAAAGAAAAAAAAACCAAACCTGTTGCCGTTGAGTCGAATCCAACTCATAGCAACCCTATAGGACAGAGTAGAACTGCCCCATAGAGTTTACAAGGAGTGGCTGGTGGATTCGAACTGCAGACCTTTGGGTTAGCAGCTAAGCTCTTAACCACTGTGCCACCAGGGCGCCACCAGCCACCAGGAGAAGGTAAAACCACCAGGTCTCCAGAAACAGATAATACAGCAAATCCATCAGGTGAAGGCAGGAAACACAGGAGCAGACTTCTCTGCAGTCCTGTTGAGTGCACAGAGGCCTAGGAACTTGGCTTCTTGGTTGGACACAGGGTGCTGCAAAAGATTAGAGAGGCTGGTTCCCCAGGCAGCCTGCCTGACTGCCCTGCCCCTCTGCCCAGGCCCTGTTGCACCTGCTGCTGCTCTACGGGCTGGTGGTGAGCACAGCACTCATCTGGCACCCCATCAACAAGCTGGCAGCGCTGCTCCTGCTGCCCTACCTGGCCTGGCTCACCGTGACTGCTGCAATCGCCTACTACCTGTGGATGGACAGCCATTGTCCAGAGCACCAGCCTCAGCCCATGGGGGAGAAGAGCGACTGAGGCACTAGCGCAAGGGAGAGGAGGAAGGATGGCCAGGGCAGGGGCGGAAGAGACTGCAGGCGGGGCTTCAGAGCTAGGGCAGGGAGGGGGAGGAGAAGGAGGTGACGAGGGATTGATGATTCCCTAAGGATGACCTGTCCCAATGTGGCCACCGTCCTGGGTCCCCTGTTGCCACTTTTCATTAGAATTCAGAGAAATGGGAAAGAGGGATAAATTTATTTTACCTTTTTTTACATGCAAATAATAAAATTCTGTTACTGGCTTTGAGTATAAGATGTGAAGGCAAGTGTGGAGGGCTGCAGGGTGGGAATCGGAGGGTCTGTGTGTGTGTGTGTGTGTAAGTGCACATGTGGGGAGGGGTGGGCAATTGTCTCCAGCTCCACTCACATGCCCTCCCAAGCCCAGCATAAAGATTTTGGACCCTGATTTTTTTTCTTTTTTGTTGTGGTCAAAATAGACACACCAAAACATTCTACAATACAATAACTTCCACATTTACAATTCAATGACATTGATTCCTTTTTTTATGTTGTGCCACCATTATTGCTAACCTTTTTCAAAACATTCCACCAGCATTAACATAAACTCAATGCCCCCCAAACAAAAACTCCCCTTCCCCCTCCCTCCCACCTCTGCTAGCCATTAATAATCTTTGGTTTCTATATACTTGCTTATTTCGTAAAAATGAGGTCATACAGTATTTGTCCTTTTGCTATTGACTTATTTCACTCAGCATAGTGTTTTCAAGGTTCATCTATGTTGAGGATACAGATTTTTTAATTACCTGAAAAACAAAATCTTTTTAAAAGGTTACCTAAAAGCAAAATAGAATACTAAAGTAGGATCCAAATTATTTATATCAAGGTACTGTGCTCAGACGCTATGGGTGGTTATCTCTGAGAAGTACGATTTATAGATCATTTTGTATTTTTGTTTAGTATACTCTTATACTTTTCGTTTTTTTACAACGTCAGTTAATTACTACTATAATAAGGACAAATGTTGGGGGAAAAAAAAAGACCTAAACCTCAGGGCACTGAAGGGTGAATCCAAGGGGAACTTCTTGTCCAGACCTTCTCTCTTGCACCTGGCTCATCTTTGTCTCTTCCCTCCTCTTGCTTTCTTCTGCTGTTGTTTCAAAGTCCTGATGGTGCTAAGGAGTGATTCTGCCCCCCAGGAGGGGGGCTGCCTCCCCAAATCCTAAACAAGACCAGCTGGAAGGCCCAGACATCTTGCAGTAGGGGGTCTCCACCCTGCTGCCTGGTGGGGTAACAAGGAGAGCTTTTAACAGTGCTGATCAGTAGCCCCCCACACACACTCTGGACCAGATGGAAAAGACTCGCTTTTAAAACTTCACAGGTGGTTCTAATGTGCAGCCAGGTGAGAACTACTGCCCTAGGGCTTCGCTTCTCAAAGTGTGGTCACCGCCCTCCTTGGTGCTCGTTACAGGTGTGGCCCCCAGCGGCCCCAACCCCCACAATAAGGGCTATAGTGTGACATGATTCGCAGTTAGGGCCCTGAAGTCAGACCATCCTGGGATTGGATACTGACCCTGTCATTTATTAACTGTTAAGCCCATCCGACTTCCTTAACTGTGTTTCATTTTCCTCATCTGTAAAATGGGGACCTTGTAAGTTCCCATTGCTAGGAATGGAATCCCATTTTGGAGAAAAATAAATGAGATACAGGCACCTGGGTTATGAACATCTGACTTATGTACAACCCTTAGTTATGAATCAACCCTTATAAAGCCTATTATATTAAAAATTCAAGGTACTTTCAATGGTTTGTAGTAATAAATGGGCGCTACTTTGGGACGCACATCAAAACATTATTATTATTACTGTATTATTATGTTAAAGATGTTTTAGTGTGTCTGGAAGTGTTTCTTTAATGTTTTTTATGCATAGAAATGTACACTATGTACTATATACTAAGACAAACATTTGACTAACTGACGTTAGATATGAGCCATACCTAACTGTTCCGACTTACGGACAAATTCAACTTAAAGCAGACTTAGGAATGGAACTCATTCGTAATCTGGGGACTGCCTGTAGTGGATAAAAAGGGTCTGGCACAGTGTGAGTGCTCAATAAATGTTGTTTTGGGTGTCATCGAGTCAATCAATGACCCCATGGAGTTTTCTAGGCTGTAATCTTTACAGAAGAAGCCCTGCTGGCACAGTGGTTAAGCACTCCAAGGGAGAAAGATTCGGCAGTCTGCTTCTGTAAAGATTAAACCCAAAACCAAACTCATTGCCCTCCAGTCAATTCCAAGTTGGAGCCAGATAAGCCATAAAGATTACAGCCTTGGAAACCTTACTGGGCAGTCAGAATCAACTCGATGGCAACGGGTTTGTTTTTTTGGAATCTTTACAGAAGTAAATTACCAGGTCTTTCTCTCTTGGAGCCCCCGTGCGGGTTCGAACCACTAGCTTTTGGTTAGCAGCCAAGTGCTTAATCTTTGCACCACCAGGGCTCCTTCCATAAATGTTAGCTGTTACTTTTATATGGGAGTGGACCCCAGGAGGCTGCCTGTTTGGTAAGCACCCAGGGCTCTGATACATACTACAATTTGAGACCCAATTTGTTCCAAGAGCTGGGCAGTACTTGCCACACTTTTTAACAGCCAGAAAAGGGAGTAATCCCCTCCTCAGGTCTGTGGGTCTGCCTGACCAGAGCCACAAGCACAAAATGACTGCTTCTTTGTCCTCTTGAACATTCGCATGGATTTTGTCTTTACCGCAATCAAATTTTTAAAAGCTGCTTTTAATTTAATTTAGAACTCCATTTATACGCAGAACTATTTTAAATTTATAAGTTTGGTAGAGGGTCAGTGAAAAAGAGGAAGATCCTCAATGAGATAGACTGACACAGTGGCTGCAACAATGGGCTCAAGCATAACAACGATTGTGAGGGTAGCACAGGACCGGGCAGTGTTTCATTCTATTGTACATACGGTCGCTATGAGTTGGAAACAACTCGACTGCACCTAACACCAACAAAAAGTTTAATCTATAAATTATAATTGCCAGAGAATTGGGCTCTAGAACCACACTGCACGGGTTCAGATTCCAGCCCTATGATCACTGCGTGGCCTTAGACAACTAAGTACCACAGAAGTATTTGCCATACCATTCCCATCACCTTGTATGTTCTTGTTTGTATGTCATCAACAACATGGGGCTCATCTTCCAGGATTATATCAGACAATATTCCATCATGATCCATACGGTTTTCCTTGGCTAATTTTCAGAAGTAGATCGTTAGGCCTTTCTTCATAGTCTGTCTTGGTCCAGAAGCTCCGCTGAAACCTGTCCACCATGGGTGACCTTGCTGGTGTTTGAAACACCAGTGGCATAGCTTCCAGTACCACAGCAACATGCAAGCCACCACGGTACGACAAACTGACAGACAGGTAGTGGATCATCTTATATAGGCATTATAAATATTTGCTACCAATTTTATTCATGTTACCAGTGAATTCTGGAAGTTAAACTGATCCTCAAAGAAGATGCACCATGCCGATCATATGATTTTCACTTCCTTAGGGCAAGCTGATGCTATGGACGCAGGGGCACAGACGTCTCTAGTTTGGGACTCTTGGCCCTAGAAAGAAGCTTGATTTGGGCAGTGTCCCAAGCCCTGGGAGCAGATTGGCACAACTGCCTAATACAGCATGAGCCAAACTAAAGGGCTTCCTAGCTTTGTGCAGAAATTCAGCCTGAAAAGGCAGGGCCCCAACCCCAAACTCTCATCCTCTGACCCCAAAGGTTGTCCTTAAAATGTTCCCTCTGACCCACCTCCTTGGTTTCTGGACTGCCTTTCATTCCACAGTCCCCCAACCTCGCTGGCCTCTTGCCTTTCCCCTACCCCACCTCCCAGTCGCATGCTCCAGGCTGGGCCACACACTATCCTCTGCACCCTCCTCTTATTACCTAGAGCTGTGCCTAAATAAAGTTGGAGGTGCCTCCTGTCTTTGCCAGATGTATCCCAGGATTCCACAGTCCAAATCAGGTTGTACGCTTCTTTGTCCTTGGGCAGTGTTTTTCCACTGGTCTCTGAGTGGGTACAAAGCGTCTGAGTGTGATTCAATCGGTGGGTGGGGTAGAGACGAACTCTTCACAGGGCTGTGCAGATCTCCCACCCAATCCCTGGGGAGGTGTGGAGAGGCACGGAGTAAAACAGCATACCCAGGAGGTGAAATATCTCATTCTATGTATCCTAGGGCCCCCATCCCCACCACCCCACCACCCAGTAACCATTCACCCTTCCTCACTTTGCCAGTTTCTGCAGAGTGGAAACACAGAGGGGGGCGGAGTGAGGTGGGTAGACTGGGAGGTGTTTGTCCAGTGGACAAAGATGGGTCAGCTGGACTGGGAGGAAGTCAGAGTTCTTTCCTGTGCATCTCTGGCCCCTCCTACCTCCAGGCAGGTAGTGCTGATGCTGGCAGGGAAGCAGAGGGGCCCCCAGTGTATTGTCAGGCCTAGCCATGGCTCCAGAGTCTCTTTTCTGATGGCAAAACTGTTAAGCCTTGGCTGCAAACCGAAAGGTTGGCATTTGGAACCCACCCAGCGGCTCTGCAGTAAGAATGACCTGGCCATCTGCTCCTGTGGAGATTCCAAACCAAACCCACTGCCGTGGAGTCTACTCTGACTCATAGAAACCCTGTAGGACAGAGTAGAACTGCCCCATAGGGTTTCCAAGGCCATAAATCTTTACGGAAGCAGGCTGCCACATCTTTCTTCTGCCATGGAAATATTACAGCCTAGAAAACCTTATGGGGAAATTCTACTCTGTCGCACTGGGTTGCTATGAGTCGGAATTAACTCAATGGCACGCCACCCAACAACAACAACCATCCATTCTTTCTCTTGGGGTTCCCCTGCACCCCAAGCCCTCTTTCAGAGTCTTCCCAGAGTTCCCTTTTTTCCGTGGTTCCGGAAAACAAGCACAAGACCCTTTTGTCTTAAGGATTTTATTGCCGATCCTCACTAT